CTCTGAGCAATCTCACAGGTCTTTTTAAGCTGAAGAACTGGCCCACTTAGAGCCTCAGCTTGGTTTCCAAGCCAAACAGACTTATTCCCCTCTTCCCCAATAAAATGAGCTGAGAACTCACCTCAGGAGAGTAAAAAAGGACTGAGTAGCTCTGGGTGTGAGGAGTGGAAGGAGGTACCCAAGAGATCCCTAGCCTTTTTTCCTTCTTCTTCTTACTGTTTTTTTAATGGAGCTTTTGGCTACTCTAACAACATTGCCCCCTCTGAAGAGGTAACCCTAAAGAGATCCCTAGCTTTTGTTGAGAACAGTTTGGCCTGTTCTCCGAGACAGGCAGGAGTTCTGGGAGGTACCAACCGAGCTGCCTTCTTAGCCCTATCCTCACCACTCTTTGTGACCTCAGACAGATTGCTGGCCTTCACCCGGGACTTGGATTTCTCATCTGTAAAATGGAGGGAAGTAGACCAGACAGACCTTAAGGTCTCTCCTCATTTCCACCGCATGGTTCTGGGACAGTTCTTGTCTTCAGGTGGCAGACTCTAGGGACTGTAGCCTGTTTTGACCTGACTCTCTAGACAGGTCCTGACCAGACCCTCCCTACCTGAGATGCCACCTTAAGTTCCTTTCTGACCTGCTGTCCCCCAGCTCTATCATGTGTATTCTGGAAGCCTCTTCTGACTGCTTTTGTAGAGTCTTGACCTCCTCGGACTGGTTCTCACTGGTCTTGACTCCTCTGTGCCTATTGTTGTGCCAGGCACATGGCAGCAGTGTAAGTTCCCTGTGTGGGAAGATTGAACCCCAGTTAGCATCACCCTGTTCACCTTGCTCCCTTCCCCACACTCTGACCAGACTGAGGTGCTGGTGTGCTGAGCTTGCTTCCCTGTGGCAAGATTTGAGGATTTGACTTTCTGTGGGAAACTCTGTCCCCTGCCAGTCCACATGTGCTCCTGAAGTTGGCAGCCTTAGGCTCAGGTCAGATCCTGCATTGCAGGGCAGGAGTGAAGAATTCACCCTGTCTTCAGCCTTAAGGTGTTTGTTTAAGTCACTGGACTGCTCTGCCCAAAACACAATCCTGCCCACGCCCTTGGCACAGGCCAACACACAGGGCACTCATATAAGATGCACAATGTAGATAAGGTCATGGGGGCAGAACTAGTATCTGTCTGCAGGTCTAGCCTCAGTTTCCTCATCTGAAAAATCACTATTTCTCAGCAGAACAGCTCAAATATGAGGTGTGTCAACAGGGTGCTTTACAAATACTGTGGCTATATTTGCGTAACTCAGAACATCCGCAAAACCTGTTTGATATAAGCGCACCCATGGGCATGTGTGCATGCTGTGTGTGCGTGTGTGTGTGTGTGTGTGTGTGTGTGTGTGTTAGTATAACGTGATGTGTTGAAGAATATAGTTAGGAAGACTGAGCAAGGTCTGGGTTAGTGGGAGCCCTGGGATAGACAAGCAGAGAATCTTGGATGGATTCAGAAGTCAGAGAAGACTTGGGAAATATCTGGAAAAGCCTTCTAGAAACAGTGCTTCTAGGAACAGCACCCACTCAACTTCCTCCTGGAAGCTGCTCCCTGGGGATTACAACTCAGCTGTCCCAGCTTCAACTGTGGTAGAGCCTGTGTCCCCGCCTGCAGTCAGTCTTCCCCAACCTCCCTCCCTTCTCCTCAAGGCACCCTGTGTTTTCACCTTACAATGATCTCTTTACTTCACAGTAATTTGTTTAGTTTTGGTTTTGGTTTTGAGATAAGGTCTTGCTTTATAGCTCAGACTGGCCTCAAACTCCTGATCCTCTTGCCTCAGTCTCCTGAGTACTGGGATTACAGATGTGCACCACCATGCCTACCTTATCTCTCAGTCTTACGCAGCAGACTGGACAGGAAATTAGTTCTAATTATGCTTGGTACTCCAAAGACAGGTTTCTGGCACTAGAAAAGGGGTTTTTGATTAATTAATTAATTAATTAATTAATTAACTAAACAACTTCCAACCCTAAGATAAAAGTAAAGCAGGGTCTTCCAAAGGACATTCTACAGGGCTCCAGAGAGTGCCCTGGAGCTGTAGTGTGCCTGCTTTTGTCATGCAAACAGGCAGCAGTTTAATGAAGCCCAAGACTGAGATACTTTGGATGTGAGTGTTCTCTGCTGCTTTCTCTTTGTTTCAGGGTCTCTGTCTCTAGTTCTTTATCTGTGTTTCTGCTCTGTTCCTCCATGCTTTTTATCTTCCTGCTCAGCCCTAACTCTGTCCCATAGCTTATAGCATCTAAGATATCCTAAGATGCCCTTGTAGCCCTCAAGGTTGCTTGCCCTCTGCTACCTCTTCTGCCTCCCCAGTTTCTGCTCTAGATTCTTCCATCCTGGGCCTCCCTCCCATGACCTGCACAGATTCTAAGGCCTCTATTCACCTCCCTTGGTAACTTCAAAGAGCCCTCTGGGCTCACTCTTCCTGTACTATTATGGCAATGCCTCCTTGCCTAGAATTTTTTTATGAAACATTGGAAAAGTTGAAGAAAAGAGCCAACAAGTTCCCAAATCCAGCATGGATTCTGAAGGCCCCTGACATCTGCACCCAGATCCCTTAAGGACCTGTTCAGAAGGTGTGTATGGCTTAGGGCCTCATCCTTGCTTTTGCAGGTTCAAAGATAAAATAACATGACAAGCAAAGCAGACAATTTGAAGTCAGATTTCCCAAGTTCAATCTCCCCCCGACCAAAAAAGCACGCACTTAACCAAATTCCATTCACATCTCTTCCACGTAGATCTTTATGATCTTGGATAAGTTATTTCACTCCAGTCAACCTTAATTTACTCATCCAAAGTGAGAGTAGCTTGTCTCACAAGTTGGTGCGAGAATTAAACCAGATAGCCTGTACAAAAGCCAAAAGTTACTATAAAAAGCCAGTCAGGCACAAGAGAAAATAGCTCAGATAGTAAAACTCACACTAGACTAGTTGTAGTCCAGAATGTCCATGGGTCATCAAAAGAAAAGAGATACCTGCAGACAACCCTGGTTGCTTCAACATCCTTCAGGGCAGTACATTCTCTGCCCTAAAGAATGCATAGACAGCCGGGCATTATGGCACATGTCTTTAATATCAGCATCGGGAGGCAGAGGCAGGTGGATGTCTGAGGTCGAGGCCAGCCTGGTCTACAGAGTACCAGACCAGCTGTGGCTACAGAGAGTCCTTGTCGCAAAAAAGACCAAAAACAAACAAAAAAGAATGCACAGCCGAAAGATTCCCTGGTGGACATGATATATGGTGGCTCAGCAAAGAGGCCTATTGTTTGATCTGGATGGCCACTGTCACTTGGCTACAGTTGGAACCTGATGACTCATCTGCCTTCTAGGAATTTCCTAGCCAAAATGTAGAGCAGGCCAGACTGCCCACAGCACCGGACAGCACTGGAGGCCCGTGGACAGATTCTTGCTCTCAGGTTTTGCTTTGTTCAAATCGTTCACCCATTCTACAAACTGATACTGAAGTCTTAATGAGTGTCAGGCACTGGGCTGGGTGATCAGAATGCAAAAGCAAACAAGCTAGGAACTGCCCACCAACCTCCCCACAGAGCAAATGGGTTTCAGAGAAAGACTGACAACTGAAAACGTACTTGCTGTGCTCTGTGTTGAGGCAGCAAAGGTTACAGGAATGAGCAATGCTGTCCCTGCTGTCCCTACCCTGAGCCCGGGTAAGGGCTCTGAGAGGCAGTGCCACTCACACATCCTACCCTCACCCGAGCGGCAGGCTTTCATGGCAAGTTGTCTAGCTATACCTCAATAACTCTGAGTGACCTTGGGTGTTTCCCTAGTCCTCACAAGCAATGCATCTACAAACTACCCCTTGGGTTGGGCTTGCAGACAATTCATTCTTTCATTCATTCAACAAATATTTGTTGAGTCTCTATTATGTACCAAAGCTAGTTCATTTTACCTTCCCATGGGCACTTTCATCCCAACTTCCAGCAGTGCTTTATTGAAGCACCCCTGTACTGACTCCATCACACTTCAGAGCCTGTTTTATCTTGAAGAACTAGATGGACAACTCAGGACTAGGACAGTTCAACACAAGCTGTCCTGAAAACAAGGGACCTGCATCAGGGACCTGCAAGATCATGGCAAAAACCCCACACCCAAACTGCTTTCTGAGGTTCTCCACTGGAACAGAGAGCATGAGACCCACAGCCCTGTCCCTGAAGACAGTCCATGGCCTGAGCACTGCCACTGTCTCTACTGATTCTTCCAGTGGCAGAGGTTTGCAGCTTGGAGAGCTGCTGGCCTCCAGGTCACCCTGCCTAGAATTGCTGCTATAGGACCAGCTTCTCCAACCATGGTGATCCTGGGCCCCATGTTCTCTCTGATAGTTCCCGAGCACAGTGTCCCCACTGCACTGAAGGACACAGACCAAAGCACAACTTTCACAGTGACTTAAGATCAGGTACAAAACTGGGAACCAAATCTCTACTGCAGCTCCAAGCTCCCCAAGGCCCTCAGGGCCTCCAGATACCATTCATTCCCTTCCCCCAGGGTACTTGGAGATCCACTGTTGCCCACCTCCAGATCTCCAGCTTTCAAAGCAAGAGGCTCAGAGCCTCACCCTTCAGGTGGCTTCAATGGTACCCATTGTCCAAGAGGCTGTGTGGCTTGACCCCCAGCCCCATAAGCAGAGGGCAGCAGCCCAGGGAGGAATCTGCCTAGTGCCCCTCCTCCGCTGGCTGCCTTGGGGGAGTCAGTGCGGCAGGGGCCCCACTGAATGTGACCTATTGTCTTCGGGTGGATTTAGGAAGTGCCAAGCTCCCATCAAACAGCCCTGCTCCCCAGGTAAAACAAAAAAAGGGCTGTTCATTTGGGACCTTTTCCCCTTATCTCCTTTTCCTATCTCCTTAGGCTTAGCTCTGGTGTAGTGTTCAAAAACCACTTCCCCTCTGAGCCAATCAGAAGCTGGGGCTCACCCGTGGCCCTGAGGTGAAGTTATTTATAAACGCCTCCCTGGATTATTTGAGCAGAGCCCTTTCACACACCTCAGGAACACCTCTCTGCTGCCCGCTGCCTGGACACACCTGCAGTCCTGCCCAGCCAGCTCTGCTCACCCAGAGGTAAGCCCCACCCAACCCAACCCACCACAAGGGCTGGGGGTTATCCCTGGAAGAGGGCAGGCCCCAGGGACACCTCTAGAAAAAAGATGGCAGGAACTCACCTGTCGTGGGTGGGTGCCCTCTAGCCCAGAGACACGAGCTGCCCCTCAGCCCTTCCCCTCTCTGGAGCCCACTGGGCCCCTGCTTCCCTTCAAAGACCTTAGCTGTTAGACTGAGCTTGACTGGGAGTGTACATAGGATGGTTGCTGTGCTGGAGGAGGTTGGCCATACCCAGGCAGAGTGGAGCAAAGCAGACACCCTCTGCTAGTCCTTCCAGGGAAAGAAGAGGGCCTGGGCTGTCGTGGGGCACCAGTCTTTGAAGCAGCTACCTGCACCTCTCCCTTTCAAGTCCTAGAAGCAGAGAGAGCTCAACACATCTGTCTGTCTGTGTGGCTATGTTCACCTCGTAGCCATCCTCCCTCCCTCATTTTCTTCCCTGAGCTTAGGGCACTTAGCATGGACTGTATAAACCCCTATTTGGTCCCCATTTCTCCTATGAAACTGGAAGAGATGGATGGAGAGGAAACCAAGGAGTAGGCAAGGGACAAGCTCCATCAGGCAGGTGAGAGCAGAGCCCAGGGTCCTACCTCCTTCAATGGTGCAATGTGGATGCGTCTGGGCCAGTGCAGTGGGTGAGGAGCCAGTCCTGAAGGCTCCCAGCTTCCAGTCCCCAGATTTAAGGGGTCCCAAAGCATCCTTGGACAGTGTTTCCATTCCTGGAAATTAGCCCAGAGAGTCCTCAGACTAGGCCAAGTGAATCTTTTATCATTCCAGCACCAACTCAGTTGAACTTGTCCCCACTAGGTCTGAGCACCTGGGGAACACCATGGTCTGAGGGTCACAGCTTTTAGGATGTGCTGCTTTGGAATGTCATAGTTCTCCCCACCCCAAGCAGACAAACAGAGAGAGCTCTTTCCCCCTACATGTTTCATTCATGTAGACGACCCTCCCTCAGAGGCCCCACATGGTCTGGCCAGAGGCTGCTTGGGCATCATGGAGACCAGTACATACCAGAACCACCAGGCCAGCTTTCCTGCCACCTCCCAGGGTCTCCCCTGGTCTGAGGCTCATTGTATAAAATCCTGAGGCATAGTTGGACTCTTTACCGATTAGTGTTCAAAGACTTCCAGGAGAGTGAAGCACAATGTATATTTAGTGAGAGAGTGTTAAATTATACAAAATAGTTGCCTGAGGAGCTTGACACGGATCAAGTTATGGAGAGTGAGAGAGTTATGGCTTGGAAGAGAGATAAAAAGTACTGGAGAGATGGCTCAGCAGTTAAGAACACTGGTTGTTCTTGCAGAAGACCTGGGTTCGAATCCCAGCACCCACATGGCAGCTAACAACTGTCCATAACTCCAGTTCCAGGGGATCCAATAGCCTCTTCTGACCTCTGCGGGCACTGCATGACACGGATGCACTTACCTACATGCAGGCAATACACACATACACATAAAATAAAAATAATAAAATATTTTAAAAATAATTAAATAAAATAAGCTTTCAAAAAAAAAAAAAAGTGGCCGCGTATCCTCCTCCAGAAGAGTCAGTCTTCTCAGTGCTACGTGGGGTTTTTGCCTGGATTCTTGGACCTTCCTTTGTCTCCTTGCCAGGTACCCTGATGCCCAACTGTGCCGGTATCCTTAGAAATTTCTAGGAGTCTCACCCCAAGGATTCATTAATCCTCTGGCCTTGTGCGGGTCTCATCAACATCTAGTTCCTTCTCCTAGAATTCATCCCCCACCACCCAGTCACTATTCATCGTTCCCACCAGGAGAGCAGATGGGGAGAATGGGTGTAGTGATAAGGAGTGGTGACTCTAGGGTCTCTCCCCAGCACAGGCTACAGTCCCAGAACAGTCAGAGAGTGAGCACTACAGGAACATCCTCCCTTCAAATCACACAGGAAGACATCAGCCTGGGGCTAAGAGGGAACAGAAGATTTGCCATGGGACAATAAAAGGAAAAGAGTATTTCAAAGTGCCTTAGAGGTGCACAGGCCTCTAACAGCCCCCTCCCCCTGCCAGGGACACAGTCTCCAGCTGGGACCCCAAACTTCTGTCCTATCACCAGCTCATATCTCAACCCTGGCCAGACAGAGGCTGCCTTTTCCTGGGATATCCACCCTAGATGAGGAAGGGAACCGGTTAGTCCCTGGAGCAAAGGAGACCTCAAGGTAACCTTTCTTTTCCCCAGAACATAGCCCTTGGCCAGGCAGAGATCTGTGATAAGGACTTCTGTGCTTGGCCAAGCTGGGACTGCTCCAGTGTCTAGCACCATCTGTCAAAAAAACAACTCCCCCAAGACACCCAGCCCCAGCCAGGGCTGAGGAAGGAAGTTAGTCTAGGCTACAGTGACAGGATCACCTCCAGACCTGAGAGAAGCCAATGGGTGGGCCCCTACCTTTCTGCTCCTCAGGGTCTCTCTCCTACTTAAAAGACTCCTCTTCTCACTAGTTCTAGAAATATCCTCCGTAGGGTAAGGGCCTGGGGCTAAGAGGTAGGAGAAGGAACGCTAAGAGAGGCAAAGTGAATTAGGCAGTTCTAGAGGGCAGACTAGAAAGCCAGTCCTCCAGAGTGGCAGCAGTAATAATAAGGGTGGGAATCTATTACATGCTTCCCTGGGCCAGGCACCCTACCAAGCATCACACTGAGCCTATCCCTAAACTAGCATTCTGAGGGCATCTGCAGACCTACTCAGACATAAGATAGGGAGGAGGGCCCAATGGGCTTTCTTTTTTTAAAAAAAAAAAATATTTTTAATGCGTATGTGTGTATTGCCCGTATGTATGTAAGTGAACCCATATCATACAATGCCTGCAGAGGTCAGAAGAGGGCCTTGGATCCCCTGGAACTAGAGTTATGGACAGTTGTTAGTCATCATGTGGGTGCTGGGACTCGAACCCAGGTCCTCTGCAAGAGCAGTCAGTGCTCTTAACTGCTGAGCCATCTCTCTGCCCCCTAAGCTTTCTTTTGTGTGAGCTCATTGAATGTGGTCCTCACAGAGTCCATTTGTCCCTTGTTCCCTTTCCCTTATGTCCTCAGCTGTGCAAGACCCCTAGAGTCCCCCAGGCCCAGGCTGACCACATTCCCTCCTCCACAGGGGCTTCAGAATTGCCTATGTAACCATATCTCCTACCTTCTGCTCTTCCCCCACTATCCCTCTTAAATCCCAAAGGCCCCCTCTAAGTCTCCAGTTCTTAAGGAACCCTCCTCTTTTCCTTCTCAGTGAGGGATGGACAGGGTCACCTTTTTGTTCGTCAGTATTGTCACATTTATTGCTCATCTGGCAATGAAGAGTCTAATATGGGGAGGGGGCGTTAACGCACGACTGTGGCAGCAGAGCACATGACTTTTTTCAGTGATGCTGACATCATTCATCAGACCTATGTATTTAACTCGGGATCAAACTGTCATGTTCCCTATACCTCTCTCACTGTTTTGTTCCTCTCTTACCCTACCACCCAACCCAACATCTTAATACACCCTAAGCTGTCTGAGACCCCCCCAAAGCCCATCTATAAGAGGTGAGGTTCTCCCCACCATGCTGGTTCACCCCTTTCCACCCCTCCCTTCCCCCTTTCCTCCACTGCTCCAAGGCCTGAAGGACTGAGTGGGGATGAAATGACCTTCCCTGCAATGCCAACCCCGCTTCAGCCCCTCTTCCTGGATATAGAGAGTAAGATGAAGGCATCTCCTCACTAGAAGCCAGGGCAGCCACTGAACCTGTACTTGCAACAATGTCTGTCATTGTGCTAGATAAGCTGAGGCCAGGCCAGGAGGCAGAACTTAGGCAGAGCCCTCAAGAGAAAAATACAACTCAGAAGTTTTGTCCGATCAGCTAGTGGCAACGTCCTCAGAGAGGAGGAACCAGTGCTGTCCCTGAGGTTAAGGAACTCCTTCCACCAGGAGTATTTGAGTGGTTGTCAAGGCCTACTTCAAATCCATCTGCCATTCTCCAAGGCTGTTTCCTCATGTACAAATCTTCAAGTCCCCTGCTAGACAAAACTTCCTGACTCCAACTGCTGACTTCTTTTTATAAACAGGGGGTTGTGAAAACCTGGTCCCCTGCAATGTCCTATTCCTGGAATGAAATGGGCAGAGTTCAAGAAAAGGGCAGGTGTGGGGTTGCAGGAAGCAAGGGGACTTTTTCCTTCTGTTAGCCTGTGTCACTGGAACTCCCAGTATTCAGTCCCAGGCTGCAGGGAAGCCTTGCTGAGAAAGGCAGAGACAGTGCTGAATCACCTACCTGTTGCTCTCTGAGGGATTTTCACCACCGCCGCCTCTTTCCGCCCTCCCTTTCCTGGACAGGCAGCTCAGAACGGCTGAAGCCCACAATAGTACATAAATCAGACTCCCGTGAAGAAGAGCTGTGAGGATGGAACAGTGCCTCTGAGCAAGGGTGGTCAGGACAGGTTTCAGAAAAAAAAAGAGGAGGGAAGAGGAGAAAGAATTCAAGCAAGTCTCAGGGACAGGCAGGTCTAGAAAGGCAACAATGAGTCAGAGCACCTGGGTCAAAGAGGAACATTTGAGTGATCCAAGCCTGTTTGGAGTGAACAACCTGCCTGCATGGTTCAGAGGGACCAGCTAACTGGATCATCCAACACAAGGCCAAAACAAGGAGCTTAGGTTTGGTCCTCCTGCAAACAAAGACAATCGGGTTTTCTGAGCAGGACATTATGGGCAAGTTGGAAAGGGTAGGGCTGGTGGCCAGGAAATCAGTTAGGAGGCTAGTGAACGGGTTCATAAGTGAGGTCAAACCAAGGGGTGGGGACAGGATGGAGACAGTACATGGGAGAAAAGAAGGAAGAAACCAGCAATAGGACTGATGAACACCTGAGTGTGGAGGCTGACAGGGCCTGGAGGGTGGTTGGGGGGTGGGGGACATGGAGACAAGTGACAGGGGAGGAGTGACTGGGAGGCAGAAAGATACCGCAGTGGAAATGGAAAAGCTGGTGGGGGAGCTGGAACAGTAGCACGGGATGTTGATAGCACCCCATCCCACAAATATACTAGCAGAACAGATAGATAGCCTTTGGAAATAGCCTGGGACAATCCTTCGGGGGCCGCTGCCTGCTGGATGGTACAGAAGCAAGATCTCCCACCACTTCCTCTTCCAGATGCTCTCCTTTTCTCAATCAGCTTGCCTTGAAATTTTCAGCCAGTCCTTTGTGTGTGGTCTGTTCAGTGGCCTGGGACATACCCCCCAAATCACAAGAATCTCTGAAGCCAGATTTAGCATTATGGGTTCCTCTGAGGAGTTAGGCTTCCCACTCACTGCTCCCAAAGAGTATTCCAAGCAAACAAGCTAGAAAGCTAGACCCTGGCAGACCCCAGGGAAGGTGGGAGGAAGAATGAAGTCACACCTTGCCGTGGAGGGTAAGGGCTAGAAGCTGGCAAATCATCTCTTCCAGGGAAGAAAACACCCTCCCATGTTAATAATAATAACCACTGTCTTCATCACTCACTGGGTGCCTAGGGAAGGCCAGACACTTCACAAATGAGCTCACTTAATCCTCTCAGCAACTGCCTGGTACTGTTATTATCCTCACTCACAGATGAAGAAATTATGTCTTTGAACCCTGGTCTTTCTGTCTCTAAAACTTGGGTTGATTTCCTGATGCCACTGAGAGTTTCTCCCACCTGCATGTCTGACATACCATGGTCCTTACTCAGTTGTGCTCATGTCTCCTCTAAAACCCCATGGGTTTATTCACTCAAGAAACATTTGTTAGGTCCTATGTACCAGGCAAGGAGCTGGGCAGGGGCCCAGGGGACAGGTCAGAACACCCATCTTACCTTCTGGTGGATATCATTGGGGGGTTTCACTAGTAATCCAGCCCTTACCTGTCATTGCTGAGGGCTGCCTCATTCCCTAGACCAAAGGAATGGGACACACCAGTCCAGCCTTCATCAACTTAAGCACAGCCTCCTTAACCACAGGGACTCATGTTGGCGTCCTTCTTTTCATTTTACTTAATCCCTTCTTAGCCATCACAACTACCCTGTGAAGTAAGGAGCCTACCCCACTTTGCTAATGAGGGATTTGAAGTTCAGAGAGGCAAGATCACCCTTTCTTCCTCCCCATTATAGCAGGGGAGGACTGTTGTTTCTGGACTTGTAGCTACTTCAGTATTTTCTTCCACAAAAGACAAACATCAGCCCATCCCAAGGCCCTCACCTAGGATGTCAGTAGCAAGGGTGGAGGGGGGGTGTCTTAGTTTGCTTTCTTTTTAAATATTTTTTTAAGTGTATGAGTGTATTGCTTGCATGTAGGTAGGTGCACCTGTGTTGTTCAATGCCCACAGAGGTCAGAAGAGGGCATTGGATCCCCTGGAATTGGAGTTACAGATGTTGTTAGTCACTATGTAGGTGGTGGGAATGGAGCCCAGGTCCTCTGCAAGAGCAGCTAGTGCCCTTAACTGCTGAACCATTTCTCCAGACCCTTAGTTTGCTTTCTATTGCTGTGATAAAACATTGACCAAAACCAACTTGGAGAGGAAAGGGTTTATTTCACCTTCACTTTAATTCATCATGGAGGGAAGAAAGGGCAGGAGCTCAGAGCAGGAACCAGAGACATGCTCCTCTGGCCCATGCTCAGCCTGCTTTTTTTTTTTTTTTTTTTTTTTTTTTTTTTTGCCTTTTTGAGACAGGCTCTCCCTACAGCCTCAGGTGGTCTGGAACTCATTATGTAGACCAGGCTGGCCTTTAACTCACAGAGATCTGTCTGCCTCTGCCTCTGCCTCCTGAGTGGTGGGATTAAAGGCATGTGCCTCCACACCTGGATTCAGTCTGTTTTCTTATACAACACAGGACCACCTGACCCCAAGTATCACTGCCCACAGTGATCTGGGTCCTCCCACCTCACTCAACAATTAAGAAAATGCCCCACAGACATGGCCACAGGTCAATCCAATGGAAGGAGTTTCCCAATTGAGGTTCCCTCCATCCAGGTGTGTCAAATTGACAACTGAAGCTATTCAGCACAGAGGGGTCCCCAGTCCCTCTGAAGTCTCACACCTTCAATTGCAATTCAGTCCTTTTGCCAAAATAGTTACAGTCACTCTAGACTCCCTCACAAATGGAGGTAGAGACAAATAAAAGTCCTCCATCAAAGCTACGCTATCTTTCTCCTCCACTTCCTTCCTCCTCAGAGGGCCTCTACACAGCTTTTGCCAACTAGGGGTGAGGGACAGGAGAAGGGGTCAGAGTTGGAGGAGGGTGGGGGAAAGGTTCCCTTAGGGAGTTCCTCTGGGCCCCAAGGGCCCTGGCACCAAGCTCTGCTCAGCTCAACTCCTGAAACGTTGGCAAGGTTGCGCAAAGAGAGAGGAGGAGCGAGGCACCAGTACACAAGGGTGGAGGAAAGCTAGGCACAGGAAGCTGTGGGAGAGCCACAGCAGACCATCCTGACTTCCCCAGGCACACCATTGTCCCTCCTGGGGAAACCTGTTGGTGAAGTCCTAGGCAGGAGTCTTATCCAAGAAAGGTCCTCTTGAGGTCACTTTGGTCACCACCCCCCCAACCCCCCCCACCCC